TTATGGTCGCTTCCGGTTTCTTGGCTCAACGTGGTTTCATCCTACGTCTGCAGCGTTTTCTGGTTCACATCCCTACGAACGCAATCATCAGATTCTGGATACAAACCACTCTGGTGTGGTATGCTAATTCGACCAACAAATACAGCACACTTCTCCTGGTACCGTTCTGCGCAAAAGACCTTCGTTGGCAACTCGAGGATCAACGATCACTTCCTGTTACGCCAATTTCCTCCGTGCTACAACCGCACTTCTGCCGATCAGTCCCACGAATCAAACCGCTAACTATCGAAAGTGCAAACCCTTTCTAGCGGGGGGCTCCTGTAGTGACCTACTTTTGTCAACAGAACGCGATTGGTTCGATGAAAACAATTATTATTATAGCCAATTGTACCAGTGATTGTTTTATTGTGCTCGTTTGTTTAACTGTGCTAATGACAGCCGTTATACTTACTCTCCCGTTGACTTTGAACTTGTACGAATTCGGTTACGCTCAGTAACCACGCTTGTACTCCTTTGGCACGATCTCGGTATTCTTTCGATACCACAAGATCGCCGACAAATACATCCCGGCTACAGCCATCATCTGTCTTCTGATATTGGCATACGGGGATCTTATTGGTTAACTGGCACGTAGTCTTGTGGTGTTCATAGTCAAGCTCAACTCGACACCACGCTACAAGCTAATGACTTCACAAGTCCTACCATCGTGAAATTCACAAACAAATGAACAGATGTTAATCTCATTAGCTATGTACGTAAAGACTCAAACCCCTTTCCTGAATCTATTTTTATCACTTCTTAAGTAGCTGTATCCCAATAACTATGGAGTGACGTTGATGTCATAGACTAACCAAGCTTTAATCAGCTAATATCAGTGACTTTAACTCGTCCACTAATGTTTCTAGTCCATACAATTTGTTTCCTGAGTAATAAAGATTTGTATATAGAATTCTTATAAAGTACGACCCATCCAACGAACGTTGGTAGGCTTCGCTTTCAAAACCTGGAAGCTCGGAAATCCACTAAGCGGAGATTTTCTTCACTATTTTGTCGATGCGTTGCTAGTTCACATAGTGCCACCCTCCTTTCTCATCTACCTTCCAGAGATATTTCAGGACTTATTCGAATGTTAGTGTCATCTTGCCCCCTAGCTTTTGCAGGCAGATCCTATCATATCCTCCCTCTTAATCAATGACGCTGACCAGGTAAGTATAAGTTTCCACCTCTTCCAAAGTTTCGACATCAAGTGTGATTAAATTGGCGTTCTTCATGTTGAATTTGAGGATCTTGACTTCTTCCCCGTGTATGCTGAGGCCTGCTGATTTAGAGACTGCTACCACACTAGTAGTCTTCATCTGTATTTGCTCTGGTGCGTGAGATAGAAGAGCTAGGTCATCTGCAAAGTCCAAACCATCAAGCACTGTTCAAGCTGTCCATTTTATTCCAAGCCACCCCTCAGATCTCGAAGTCTTCATAACCCAGTCAACCACCAGAAGAAAGAGAAAAGGTGAGAGTAAGCAACATTGCATGACACCCGTTCACACTTGCAATGCATCTGTCAAATGTCCTCCATGCATCACTTTACAGTGTACTCCGTCGTATACAATCAGTATGATGTTGACGATCTACTCAACTACTCACTCCATTGTATCGAATAAGGTTTCATAAAGCTCTCCTATTCACGTTGTTAAATGCTTTCTCATGGTCAATGAAGTTGATGTATGGTAACGAGTTGCATTTAATTGATTGCTCAACAATGATCCTTAATGTAGCAGTTTGGGCGATATACAATCGATTTTCACGTTATCCGGTCTGTTGATCTTGGAGTCGAGCGTCTATCAAATATTCCATTAAGTTTAACAGCACTCTGTTGAAAACGTTTCCCGGTACTGTTAGTAGTGTGATGCCTCCGTGGTTTTAAAACTTGGTTAGATCTCGGTTCACTGGTATCTTGATGAAGTATCCTTCCCACCAGTTCGTCGGTGGCACTTGTTTATCCTTCAAAATCTTCCCGAATATAGTATGGAGCATGTTTTCAGTTACTTCTATGTCTGACATTCGTGCTTCGGCTGATATATTTTCTGCTTCTACCGATTTCTCACTGTTGATCTTTTTGATGGCCATCCTGATCTTTTCGTTTATTGATGGGTGATATCTGTTTGTAGGTGCTGTTTCAGTGTCTTGTGGGTTCAATATGTTTGGTCTATTCAAGAGTTCCTCAAAGAATTCTACCTATCTGTTCCACTTTTCTCCCATCTCAGTGATGCCTTTCGTTCTTTGTCTTTAACACGACTCTCAGATTTATTATATTTCCCTGCTGGTCTGTTCATCGCATCATAAAATCTTCACAGATTCGACCCTTTTGCAGATTCGTCCGCTGACATCGCAACATCTTCCACGTATTTCTGTTTGGCAGCTCTAATGCTGCTTTTCACTATCTTGTTTACTTTTGTGTACTCGGTATATGTCTTAGATATCCTGCATTCCTCCAGCTGCTGATGCTTCTTGCGATCCAGAATCTCCTGATACGTTTAGGCTAGAACCTCTTTGATCCCTATTCAATCGTCCTCTTTAGTAGTTTCTTCTGTGAGAGGATCTTGTAAGGCTTGGAATGTGTTGCTGAAATCTGTCTTCAATTCGTTGAGTTTATCAGTATCTCGAAGGAACGCTGTATTGAACCTTTGTAGTGTTACTTGTTCGGTTGTTCAATGTTTCTTTAAAAACCACCGGGCGGTGATTCAAAGTTATGTCAGCTCCTCTTCTGCTTCCCACGTCTTCCATATATATTCTGAATTTTTCTGATGCAAATATGATTGATCTCGTTCTCTGAAATGTGATCCAACGAGACCCATGTAGCTTTCTGCATGCGTTTGTGAGGGAATATAGCGCCAACTATTGCCATTTTGTTAAACGCACATAAATTTTGAGATCGCCCACTGTTCTCATTCTTTTCTCCCAATATCTTCATAACCGGTTATATGCATTTGGACTTTGGTGTTTAAACCTCTCATCCGGATGGTCAGGTTCTTTCCTCAGAGTTTCTCTATGATCGATTGCAGCCTCGAGTAAAACTGATGTTCAGCGTCTTCGTTGCTATCATCGGTTAGAGAATAATATGGTATGACATTCATTTGGATTCCCTCATTTTTGTTTTGAAAGATGCTTTAATGATCATGTGTCGATGAGAACCTCTCTCCATAAGTGCTTCACGCGCTTCTTTGGACAGTATCACAGCAACTCCCTAGATATGTGGAGCATTTTGTGCTTCATGAACGGGATACAGCAACATCTCTACCGAATCTAACTTTTTCTGTCCAAATTGAGTACACTGGGTTTCACTTATTACGATCACCGTCAAGCCGTGTCTCTTCATTTCTCCAGCTATTTGATTGGTCCTCCCGTTCTTCCACATCGTCCGGACATTCCATATACCTATATTAATTGTTGCTCTAGTCGTTGGCAAGGGCACCTACTTCGTGACTTCCGAAGGATCTCCGCTTTCACCAGGAGATATCATCATTCTTCTCAATAAAGATCCTTCAACTTGAAGGACAAAGTTTAAATGGCTTAAATTTTTATTCTGATTAGCGTACTTTAGGAAGTTCGTTTTCTAATGGATGCGGTTGCCGACCCCACGACAATCCTCCTCCTTTACCCAGACCTAAGACAGCTATTAGTCTTAAAAGAGCTATAAGCGGTGTTTACTAGTATTCTACAATCACTGAACTATGCTCTTAGCAGCCAGAGATTTTCTTACAGAATATTCGGTGGGTTGAATTCAGAGTTAGTAGAAATGTTTCTAGGCATTTGCTTGACTTCTTATCTGGAAAAAGACTTCTATTTTACGTCACTGTAACCTGAAAGCATAACACTATTTTGGATCTTGTTTAACGAAGAACAAATAAAAAGGCACTCAGACCAAAAAAACCGAACTTATCTTTTCTGGAAGCTTTCTGTTTATAACCAATGAAGTACAGTGTGATTAGTGGGATATAATCCTGATGTAACATATGGCACATGACCTGCTTTATTCCACTATAACACTAGTAGCCTTCAGTGACAACCCTTAATTAAGGGTCAATCCACTAAGGATATGAAATGAAAAAGCTCACACCAAAACTCGAGCAAACGTTTGTGCTTAGTACCGGCGCACTAAAAATCTCCCGACCAGTGACGATAGCAATAGCAGCTAATGAAGTTTCTTTTAAAGAAAGTATTGGCTTGTGCTCTGGCTGAGTATGAACTGTGATTGATTACTCTGTGCTAATCCATGGTCGCTGCTACTATTACCCAATCTGCTTTTGCTCATGAAGTTTCAATAAGGAATACATCGAATAGAACACTTCCTTACTATTGAAATGCAAATCACAAGAAGCCAGTAGCCTGCCGATTCCTCTCAGCAAAATTTCAGGTTTGGGCCAAAATGACAATATTGTAATGGGTATTTAGAATAGTGCAGACAACCTAACTTTCGTAGTAAAAATATACCGCTGACTTTGATTAGCCGGATGTGACCTTGGAACATGTAACTCGGGAATTGTCCCACTGGCTGGTCATCTCAGGAATATTTCACTGTAGAAGTTGGCATTTAGTCTATATGCAAAGCTTGGATTAGAGTCACTCTAACTCCTAGTCTCGTACAAATGAATGTTTATCAGTTCCCTTATCAATGCTTTAGAATCAAACAGGCGGTTTCATGCATTATTCGACATAGCTTCCATAACTTCTGCCATAAACACCAAGTTATGGTCTAGTGTTATAAGATAACGATGTTTTTAAGATGTAAATGGATGTAATGGTTGGTTTCAATACCTACACATCATCATAGTACCTATTAGTCGGTGAATCACTGACAACTTGACTTACCTGAAGCTTTGTATTATTATGATTATCCTTCCGAATTGAGGTTAGATTCCTTACACTAACTGCCGTTTTAATTTCTCGTCGATTCAATCAACTATCTGGTCGGTGTGAGGTGCTTTAAGCATTTTTCGTGAACGATTCCCACTTATGGTCACTTATTTTATTTTATTTGAACACAAATATTGGTACAAGGGGGCACCAAATATATATGCGCCACACTAAATCAGGTATATTCGATTTGGTGATTATCCTTGTTGTTATTTCCCTTTGTGCAGAATCAAGTGTTTCACGGTTGGCTTTATCTGTGTCAGACGTGTAGTTCGACCTTACAGGTTTTTAATTTTGAATGACTAAGACATATCCTAAGAAATCATTATCTCGACCATAATATTTGGCAAATTAGTAATTTTCTGTATGCTTTTTAAAATCTAAACAAATGATATTTTACATATAAACTCCAGTCACTTTTTTATGAAGGGAATCAGCTGCTTGAAATTCTCAGTTTTATTATCTGACTACTAACCATTATTATTGACAACGCTCGTATAAAGAAGAGTAGGCCGAACAGGGTTAGAATGTGGTATATGGTTTGCAAGTATGATAAAGACCTAGAGAAACTTTCAGTATTTACTTCTAGGGAATAACAGTTTTTAGATACAAAATTAACTGTCTACTCATTATCGTTTCAGATATAGTAATGTGGCTTTAAAGAATCTAGGAAAAATATTTATTCTCGCTGTCTGTTTTGAAACAACGGATATCCGGAAACTCATCTCCCTGTGTCTAAGAAGGCGGAGTCCTGCCAGTAATTTTGACCAACAATGGGACTCGTAGTGAAGTGACTCAGATGCATCGTTGTTTCATACCTTTTATTCCACAAATATATTCGTCCCTTTTAGAACATATTCTTCTTAAGTATGCGAAGATTGTGAATATTAATCAATCATCACGGGATGAATAAATGAAAAATATTTGCTCAAGTTCTAGTGGATCAGTGGCTCAGTAATTAGGACGTCTGGTGCTCCCCTCTTAAATCATAGGTTCGAACCCCGTTTCCCGTACTACATGTGTTACCAGCCCTTATACTTAAAGAGTAACACACCAAAATACCTAGTAAATGAGCTAGTAAAGTGAGTAGGTATGGTCAATGGAGTTATTATTTTGACTTTTTTGTTTATCTTGTTGATTCCGCTTCACTGTATCGATATACTTTGGGAACGTATACCGATACATTTTTATCCTAAGTTCCATGTTGATCTCGGCTGATTCAAGTAACATCATCATCGATATAATCTTAATAAGAGTTTGATTGATTTCACATTCATCACAAACGAGTTTTGAAATTCTTAAAGTATTTATAATAATGATAATAATTTATATTCTGAAAAAATGATAATTACAGAATTCACGCCAGTTTACAGGCATGATCAATTTGATATAAATAATATCATAATATGTACAGAACAAACATGTGATATGAGTTTTAAGTTTACTAGTTCAGTAATTGTTTAGGTATTACAGCGATCCAATACATCAGCCGGGAACATGTAATATTTCTTAACTGGACAGCCTGTTGATTTATGAACGGTGTAATTAAGGTCATTTCATGTGCCAGATCGATTTAATGATAAATATCTACAACTAGAGAAATTAAAACGAAAACAGAGAGCACGGAACAACAAAGCAGTAATTACCGAAATATGTCAATCAGATCTATCAAAATGCGTATGTCATGTGACACAGTGATATACTGTTGATGATATTCAAATTAGTTAAACTAGCTGGGGACGGTATTAACATAAAGTGACAGCAAGTAGGTGGTTTTATCCAGAGGATGCACTAATAAAAATGCCTAAACATTTAAAGTTCCTATAATAACACTTGTGGAGTGAGATACACTTGCAGGTGCTAGAGCATTCAATGCATTTTCGGAGGAGCAGTATGCATCGATGCAACGTACAAATAATGGGAGTGATTTTATCGTACGGATATGTTCTGGTAGGTTATTCCAGAGTCTAGAAAATTTACAGGCAAAGTAATTCATATAAAGAGATGATTTAGAATAAGTTTGTTTCACAAGTGCCAAGGAATTACGGGTTTCATAATGAGGAGTTTCTGCGTATTGAATTACATGATTGGATGTAAAGGATAGTTTATTAAGTAGTTTGAAGAAAAAAATAATATTTAGTTTGAGTCTCCTCTTCCATAAAGTGTCTAGCTCTAGTTTTTTACATCTAGAATTATAAGTTAAGGTACAATCAGCTCCAAGAATACGAAGTGTAAATCGTCTCTGTACTGATTCCAACCTTAATTTATCCTTTATGCGCGCACTGCTAAGAATAAACGTGCAATATTCTAGAAGAGGTCGAACACAAACTTTGTACATTAAAATTCGTGATTCATTGTTATGAAGGTTTCGAATTATGTAACCTACTAGTCGTTGTGACTTGGAGGTCTGTTTTGATATCTGTTCTGTAAGCGATAAGTCTTGGGAGTACCTAAGTCTACTACTGTACGTAACCTAGATAACATTTCTCCATTTATGGTAAGGTCTAGGTTAAGTGATGTATCGCCGAAGCATATCCATCCACATTTAGCCGTATTAAGTTCCAGTTGCCATTTTAAGCACCACTGTGCTACCTTGTTAAGCTCCAAGTTAATGCAAGTTTGCATATTTTCCAGCTCTTGTTTGGTTCGAAATGGGAGAATTGTTGATAACATTTAGTGTTTTGGGCAATAGCTGTATAAAACTGCCATCTGGAGATTCATCACTACTTTCTGGTTTGGTTTTTTTTGTAATTTCGCATCACAGTAGTGTGGAATGTTAACAGAGATGACCTAAAGTAGAAGCCTGCTAGAATCTTGCGATTGTATTTTACTATGCTTTTCGTAAAAGTTGAATAAATCTCCCAATTGAAGTGTATCTCTCACTAGCTACTGTTCATACCTACTTGTTCATTGATTTTACAACCCTCTGTCTTTCACAATACTAGCATTCCACCCTGTTCAATATACTTTTCTGATGTAATATACCAAGATTTTGGTAACATTGATAAACTATATATTGTTATAGGATGTTGGTGTTATACAACTTCTTGTGTATGTCTTGTTACTCCTATCTGTTGCAATACCTGATTCTGACGTAACAACTTCATTGTAGTGATACATTAAGATAAGTATGTTTGTGTTTCATACAATCCGTAACTTTCTCAGTAATTTCTTTGTATATCTTGTAGATATTAATTGTGTTACTCTTGTGATTATTTTATACCGGGCTTGACTAATCCTGTACTGTTTAGAACCTATTTGATAGGTTCATTTTGTCAAACCCTAATGGAACAAGCTTGTGTCAAGTCTTCCCAGCACCGTTTAGATGACTGGTTAATTATCCTCAAAGAACATCATATTTTAAAATCTCTTGGTGAAGAAAGAGAGGCGTTTGAGAGGAGTTTAGAACTTCCAGCCATTCCTGAAATGATATTCGATCAAAATTCCCTGTCAATTTGTTTCTGTCAACCAAATAGTGAACAAATATGCAAAATTGAATTTAATGCACTTGATGCTCTTAAATTAGTCGATCCAAAGAATATAACTATAGAAGTGAGTTACTTAATACTAATCTAATCATACCGAAGGTACCATTTGCAAAGGACTGGAGAGATTCTCGAATTACTAATCAAGAAGACATACTGCCACATAAACCATATGACTGGACTTTCACTACTCCGTATACAGGCAGTTTATCTGGTGAGTTTTACTTATGTTTAGGTATTCACAGAGCAACCGATGTTTATATACTCTTCTCCATCATAGCATCTGTGTCGTCACCGTTCTAGAGAATTGTTTCGGAAGTTTCGTGAATAACGAGCACGTTTTGGGGTTTCTAGAACGAGTTATCAAAATTCTGATTGACAGATGACACCATGTGTTCAAACGATAACTGCTCATAAGGCTAAATTATTGGTGCGACCTTCCCCAAGTAAATGGTTGTCAAAAGATGAGTGTTAGCCAGTAGGAACAGGTCTTTTATCTGTAAAACGTAGTCATTTATGAAATATATACAAGGATAAAGGTAATGACATTTCCCTTAGCAAATAAACCATCGGATGATATGTATAGATGGTCGCTCTGCTTAATAAAATTATGATCTTAATGTTGGGCTTAGTTTTTACAATTTACGTAAATTTGAAGATAACTCATGGTGTTTTCCAAGTCCTAATTTGTGTTATTCACTGCACAATTCAGATGTGACTGATCAGGTTTTACATTTTTCACTCAAGTACATCAACTTATAGAATTGTAATCAATAAGGAAATTACGATAGCATTCCGTTTGGTTATACGACAATGTGCACTCAGTTTAAATAGCTTAACAATCATTTCGTGATTGATAAATTACTTTCAATATAGGTCCCTGGAGTATATCTCCCACCTCTGAGGGTTTAGATATGGAGTATCTACGTCGAAAAGATCCTATTCGCTTTTTTGTCAATACAACGCTATATGAAGATGAACTAGGTGATAATGGTGTATCTATTCTGAATATAAAGTTTCGTGCAATGTCTTCTGGTTTCTTCTTATTACAACGTTTTTTCTTACGTATTGATGGTGGACTAATACGAGTGTATGATACTCGACTACAATGGCGTCAAAATGATAGGTAATTTTGAACCTAACGTATATCACTCCTTATTTTGTTGCTTATATTTGTATTCTGGCTAATTAATTTCTACAGTCATCACCTAAATTATTTAAAAATATTTAGCAGTTACGAATCCAAACTTATGGAGTTATACACCATAAATCATTTTCAAATGTATATTATTTATTGTAACAGTTGAATTCACGAGTCGATATAAGCTAGACCACCACTAAAAACCTGGAAGCACTGTACGGCTGCTTTGTCCTAGTATCAGACTCCTCGGCAGTGATATAGAGGTCAAACATTTGTGCGAAATCGAATGCCCTGGGTTTGAGTCCAGCATGCGGAATCGTGGGTGCGCACTGTTGAGGAGTCCCACACTAGGACAAAACGACCGTCCAGTGCTTCCAGGTTTTCAATAGTGGTCTAGCTTAGATTGATTCATGAATTCAACTGTTACAATACTACATTCTCCATAAACCCACATTCGTATATTGTTTATGTTGGTGTGATATATTGGTTTCATTTTTCACAAATGTACGTAATATTATTGGAATTTTTTAGCATTTATGCTTGGTTAATCATATATTACTAACTAGGCTCATAAATTTTATTTTAACTGGGAATCCCATATTGTACTAAATACGGTATTCAGTAAAGCGATTGTTTTTTCTAATATTAAGTGTGACTATCCAAGTCAATAAAACTGATGCCTTAATAGCAAGTAGTTAATTGAAATGTAAATTACCGGGATGTGTTTCTGAAATCTGAAAACTTATATATGAATTACGTACACCAAAAAGATCATCCGATAATCCTAAGATAATATCGATTTTTTAGATGTTTTGAGTACTAGCATCTGGATTTTTTTGTAATATACTTAAATTCATGCTTAAGTTAACACAGAGTTGCTAAGTAACAAATAGACAATGTCTTTTGGGAATAAATGTGAGTCATCTAGAGATTGAACGGATGTACATACATACCAGGTTCTACGTTGTGACTGACTGAGAGGTTGATTTGCATAACGTTGCAAAAGATAATTCCCATTTCGCCAATATTCCTAGTTGATCACGCAGACGCTTATGTTTTATGCCTAGAGATACAATCTAAACATTTAAATTTCAGAAAAGCACCATAACATCAAGTATGTTTGTTTATATTCATTTCTGATATATATCATTGGCTGTATCTAAGATCTAATCCATTGTAAACATTGTTTCCTTTGACGTTCACTTTTTACTTTGATCGAGTCGTCTATCCCAGCAGAACCAGCAGCTATTTACTAGTATCGACCCAACTCAATACTCATACCATATTGTCCCTGTATAAAGAGATATAAAATATACTATGGATTCTCTGTAATTTGGACCATTTAAGACAAGTTTATGAAATACAGTATACCTCGATGGCTATAATTTCTATATTCTAACCTAGACCTTTATAAACTTTGCCCCTCAAACGACGTGTGACAACCTAGTAAAGTTTAAAAGGAAACATTTACCATCGATATTAAAAAAAATAAGATAATGTAATTCCCGTGATTGCTTGAAATCACCGGTTACTCGTAACACATTTCCATATATTTATCTGAACGATAGAAAAATCAACATTCTGTTTTATAAAGTAACTATTACTTAAAATGGATGGAGAATACTGGTGAGCGGCCTATGCTCATCTACGAGGAGTAACAGGCGTAAGTAAATAAGTAAGTACTTAAAATGAAACATCTATATAACTGCTTCATCAAATTATCCAGTTAGTATTGTGTGTTGTTTTAAGAAATTTGTAATTATCAGCAAAGAATCTTCTACTTTTTTTTAAATCCAGTTATTTACTTCGTGATATACGCCGAATGGAAAGTTCATCTTGGAGAGAAGATATGGTTGGAATCAGTTTAGAAATAGCAGATCAACTATGTGATACAGTAATAGAGCATTATACAGAAAAACTTGTACCACCATATGTAAATTCACCCTAAAATTATCAATAACTTATGTAAATAGTATTATGTGTTCAATTATTTGTTATACAAGTTTGTAAATTATTGAACATTATGTCTATGCATTATATTTACTTTTCATAATCAAAGGGGTTAATTAATTCAATGAACTATACATTAGACTATTAACGTGGATGTGCACTGTTGAGAAGTCCCATACTAGGACGAAACGGCCGTTCAGTGCTTCCAGGTTTTTCATGGTGTTCTAGCTTCAATTGACTCATGATTTCAACTATTGAAATTACTAAAATCTCCACAAAACCCCTTCTGCGCACTAGTGACTAACCCCTATACTGATAATTATTTTTCATTATTAGAAGTCTCAGAAAAACTGTATTCAAGTTATAATTATTATTTTAATGGTAATATTTCTCAGTGTCTATTAAGAATATTCGAAACCGAAAATTTTATCAATGGATAGATTGTTTCATCTTGGGAATTATTTGTAGGGTTACTAAGAGTTTTTCTATGTAATCCATCATCAAGAGTTGAGTATAGTGTTGTTGTTGGAGAATGTAACGCAACTTGTCGATTATCTGATAAAATACAATTTGAAATGAGATTTGATGATTGTTTATTATTTATGGTAGTATTTATATTGGCTAGAGTAACACAATTGGTATTTTCGAATAGATTGCTTGTAGTTGTCATATTTATGGTTGATAAATTATTGAATTCATTAAGCTCTCCACGTATATCCAATTTATTTTGTTTCATCTATTAATAAAACATAAATACACATTATGAAATAAAATGATAATAGTATAAAATTCATATTACACTCTGTTTTGTGGAAATTAGTTTGACATGTAAGTTAAATTCGTCAGAGATTGATCCCGATTTGGGTGTCATTAAAAAGTAAATGGATCCAGGATCTTCATATCATCCAGTTAACTCTTGATTATTAAAACCACTGGGTTGGCATTCATTCATGTAATACCGACTTCGATCAATTTGTGATAGAGTACAATGACCATTTAATGCAGTTGGTGGTAACTGTTTCACATTTGAGATCTCTAAATTCTACCAGTCATGACTTTCTATCAGAACTTAGGGAAAATCTTAAGTTACTAGTGAGCTGATTATTATAGCTGCTACCTTGACGTGGTGGTCGGGCTTGCCTATCGTGATGACCCAACCGAGCTATATTGGCTGGAACATATGTTCCTGCAGGTTCTGTCATGCCAGGCAGGTCAATTGGAGAACGGTAAGACTAAAAGCAGCAATTCAAGGTCTGAGGGCGAAGTCGTACTGCTGACTGTAGAGGAGTGTGACAGCAGTAAGGTGTTTCCCTCGGACAACCAGCTTCTGCAGCGATGCTACCTTCTCACAAGGAAGGAAGGGGTTAGAAAAGGTTGACCTTAAAAATGTCACACCTCACCTTACGTCACAGATTTCCATCTCCGGCGGTAAGGCCCTTTGAAGAACTGAGCTAACACATTAAAAACTTCCCACAAAAAGACCGTGCGCAACCGGCCTCAGGCGGTTGTCCCTTGGGATCTGCAGTCTCGCTCCCAGATTGTTAAAACCAACGCTAATCCAACTTCCCTTTCAGGTTCGTCAAGAAATACCCTTCCATGGTGTGGGCAGCCGTGAAGTGACATCAACCCTCGTACCTGTAACAACACACGAGACCAAGTTGGTCACAATCAAATCCTTCCTACACCTCCTAATAACTCTCTTATCACCTCGCGCCGCTAGCGCAAACGGTTCGAGTACGCGGAACGTTATTCCTGGTATCCTGAAATCACACTGTAAACTACACGTAGGAGCTTTCAACGTCCGAACATTGTGCCAAATAGGACAACAGACTTCCTTAGCTAGGACTTTAGAATCTCGCTCCATTGATGTGTGCTGCGTCTCCGAAACGCTCACACAGGATCCTAGTAGTGTCATTCATTTGACCTCACTATGTCAGAGTAACGAACCAACTCGGTTTACTCTTCGTGTGTCTGAAATCCCTGATGCTACTTCCCGTGGCCTCTCTGGCGTAGGAATAGCATTGAGTCCTAGGGCAGGGCTAGCTCTCTTAGACTGGATCCCAGTAGACAGTCGTTTGTGTGCTGTCCGACTAAACGGAACAGTAAGGACTCGGAAGGATAGGGACACTCGTCATTGCCTCTTCGTCGTCTTTGCCTACTCTCCCACTGACTGCAGTTCAGATGATGGAAAATATGAGTTTTACAGAAAGCTTTCCGACCTTCTCCGAAAAGCTAGACGTTCAGATGTAGTAATAGTGGCTGATAACTTTAATGCTCAAGTAGCTAAACTAAGCGAAAGGGAAAGACACCTGGGTGAATCTTATGGTATCACGGCTCAAAGAACAGATAGCGGCGAACGTCTATTGCAGCTTTGCTCAGATAACCGCCTGTTTCTTGCAACCACTAACTTTAAGCATAAGGAAAAACATCTTTTGACGTGGCGACCCTCTAATTCGTCCCAACGTTGGACCCAAATAGATCACACCTCTATCAGCCACCGATGGAGGAGCTCGATAGAAGACCGTCGCTCATTCTGGAGCTCATGCTTAGACTCAGATCATGCTCTAGTGCGAGCGCGTATTTGTCTACGTCTTACTGGACGTAGGAAAGATGGTGCCAAGAGTATATTTCAGGAACAACTAGAAAAACAGGCAGCCATGTAAATGATACCCACCCCGAGGCAGCGTGAAATGACATCCGAAAAGCTGTAGAAACAGCAGTGATGTCTGCAAGTACGCTGAACCATAAGGTTAGGGAGAAACACTGGATCTCAGCAGCGTCTACCGCACTGATAGATGCTCGAAAACTCATTCCATCTGGCTCTGAACATAACGAAGAGCGGAGTCAGCTTAAGCGTAAGCTGACTAGAAGCCTACGCAATGATCGTGAACAATGGTGGGTAGCGAAAGCAAGAGAGATGGAAAAGACAGCGGCAATAGGTAACAGCAGGCAACTGTTCAGTTTTGTTAAGGAAACCGGTATTAGGAACCCAACTGTTAGCGAAACAATCTCAGAGAAAGATGGACATATTATTCATTCTCAATCCAGGAGATTGGATCGATGGGCAGAACACTTAAGGGATCAGTTCAACTGGCCTTCATCCACACTTCGGTTTCCCACGATCTCCAATCTACTTGAATGGCAAGTTAATGTAAGTCCTCCGACTCTTTACGAAATTGAAGCGAGGGAGATCAGCAGGCCCTGACAGGTTTAACCCTGAGATTTTTAAGGATGGCGATGCAGTATTAGCAGCGAGATTGACTGAGGTCTTAGGTAGAATCTGGGAACTGGACGTAATCCCATCTGACTGGTCTCAATCACTGATTGTTCCAGTCTATAAGAAAGGACAAAAGTCCTCCTGTGATAATCACAGAGGAATTAGTTTGACTAATATAGTGTCTATAATATTAGCTTCAATAATACTTCGACGCCTAACCAAAGCTCGTGAAGAGCAGACTAGAGAAAACCAGGCTGGTTTTCAACCTGGACGTGGTTGTATAGACCAGATATTTACACTACGTCAGGTCCTAGAACATAGACATACATTCAGAAGCCCTGCAGTGGTAGTATTTCTCGACCTTAAGGTGGCATTTGACTCTGTTGATCGTGAGGTTCTATGTTTATTTATTTCAACACATAGATATTGGCACAAGGAGGCACCAAATACATATGCGCCACACAGATCTCATTTGATATGCGTGAGGGCTGTGATACTGCCCGGGTGCCCAAACCGAAGCAGGTGGTCTTCTTAGGGGGCCACACCCCGAGCCTTTGACCTAAAGGTCTAGTCCACAAGGCAGTGGAGCATCGTGAGGAGATGCAGTCCCATGGTAGCCGGTGACCAAAAATTGGTTCATACGCCATTTGTTCCTTCAGGATACTGGAGCCCATGTGCACCATTGGTTTGGGATCCGGTTAAAGCGCCGGACATTCGCTTTTCGTCCTCTCATTTTCGTAAACAACACCCCTGCCACGAGAAGGCAGTGAGTAGGACTTCCCTGGCAGAGGCTATATAGGCGTGGCCATGTGAGAGTATTTGGAGAGGGAGAGCGGACTCTCCCCACTCTCGGCCGTACCAGGGCATTTGGGGGCCGAGGTTCTATGGCAATGTTTGTCACTGAAAGGAGTACCAAAGAAGTACATTAACCTTATAAAGGCTCTCTACTCGAACACAACTGGTCGAGTGAAAGCTTATGGCGAACTGTTATCAGAACTGATTACCTCAAGTGATGTTCGTCAGGGTTGTCCACTCCCTTCATTCTTGTTTAACTTTGTCGTTGACGTGCTTTTAGAAATAACACTTTCCACATCTGACTTTCCAGGGGTTGAACTTCTACCGAAAGATTCACTTGTTGACTTAGAATATACCGATGACATAGTTCTATTTGGTGAAGACGCTGACAAAATGCAGAGTCTGCTGACCACTCTAAGCAACAATACAGGCATGTTGGGCATGCGATTCTTTCCCTCGAAATGCAAAATGTTGCTTCAGGATTGGGTTGCGTCGACACCCGAACTAGTGATAGGAAGTGAAGTAGTTAGCGTGTCAACTGCTTCACTTATCTTGGAAGTCTCATCAGCCCTTGTGGTTTGGTGTGTGACGAAATCTCAGCACGGATACAGAGGGCTCGACTAGCTTTTGCCAACTTGCGTCATTTGTGGCGTAGGCGAGATATCCGTCTATCAACCAAAGGACGTGTTTACTGTGCAGCAGTTCGTTCTGTCCTACTTTATGGCAGTGAAACATGGCCGGTAAGAGTAGAGGATATTCGTAGGTTACTAGTATTTGATCATAAATGTCTTCGAAACATTGCTCGTATATCCTGGGACCACCGAGTAATTAACTCAGTTGTTAGGAAACGGGTACTAGGTAAAGATGGCAAATCAATTGATGAAGTAGTGAAACTCCATCAGTTGAAATGGCTGGGACATGTGTTACGCATGCCCGACTGCCCCGACGTGCGATGTTTTATGGTATAGGAGTTGGTTGGAAGAAAGCTAGGGGTGGCCAGACCAAAACATGGCACAAGTCCATGAAGTCGCTGATAAGTGGACTGAGTCATGTTGGTAGGTGTAGACTACCTGGTTGGGGTTGGCGAGATGATAGCAACTGATGGTTAGAGATCTTGAATGACATGGCTCAAAATCGTTTGCAATGGCGCAGATGCATCCACTCTGTGTTCTCTCAAACTCTAATCTTCTGAATTCTTCATGTCCTTTGTTTTCTTTCCAAATCTATTCCACTGGATTATACTCCTTAAATAACATCATCAAACCTTCATGTCCCCTATCTCTACTTATACTTTCAGTACCTCTACCACTACGGGATTTGAATCGATAACTGAATCTCTGTGCTAATGTGGTATGGCAACTTGAACTGATGTACGTACGTACGAAGTCCCACGTTGTTACTGACTGACTGAAGGGGATAATCTGCGTCAGTAGACAGTACGCATACTATGGATGAAGTAAGGTTTTTTCTATCTGTTGGAATCAATGGACCAATGGTAAAGGTATTCATCTTTTATCCAATGAATCACGGATTACAACTTACTTCACTTGTATTTTATTATATTTCGTCATCAAACAAACAATGAGTCAAATCTGACTATATAAAAATCTACTTCGTTAATGGTATACATTATCACGTATCTGTTAATAGTTTATTGTCATACCAAATGTTATAACCTTGATTTGTCTACCCACTTTTTGGTGCCGAGGCTACTTGTCTAATCTAGATTAAGACCTTGATGCGATAGGCTGATTGGCTTAACCTTGAGACTTGTACGCGTGAGTTTGAGATGGGGTAGAGAGAAGAAAACTATTCTGTCACCTGACTGGTGGGCAAGCACACGAATGAGAGAAGACAAGACAACTGGAACACTACTCGATCTACTTCCCTGACCACTGAACTCACTGGATTCACTGAATTCAGATTAGTGTAAAAAGGTACATGGATAAATAAGTGAATAACCCGACCGCAACGTACAATAATTAGGAAAAATACAATTATGTCCAAAGCTGGGAATTAGAGTAGAAAATAGGGTGCAAAATAATATGTTTAAATTACAATAGCTTCGGAACAGAAAAAGGTATGGCAGTGAATGATACATTGAACGAAAGCTTATGTTCTGTAGAATAGATTAGGGACAAAAATAAATGTCAGTGTTTTACAAGCTTTGAATGAAATCGAATAACGTCCCGAAAAATAGCCTTCGTAGTTTGTCAGGGCTTCTTGTTTACCGGTTCACATCATCAAATGATTATGATGTGCTAAAGGTATTTTGCTTTAGTTCTCGTAAATCTCGTTTCAAAAAGATAAAGTAGGAGACTTGTAGATGTAAGTGAATGATTCCTCTTTAGTTAGCAAGACATCAGCACTACTCTAATCCAGTCTATGTATATTAAGAAAATATTTCTGTGGAAATGCATTTGCCTGTTTTGTTCTCTCTATATTTAATGGAGTAGTCTTTGAAACTGCAAGCATTTTGAGCTATCTCAGATACACTCTAAATTCTACATCACTTGCTATCGAAGTTTTCAAAAAATCCATGGTTAGCAAATTTTTATCTGATCGAACAAATTGGACTTAGCATTGCTTTCATAGTAGCAAATAACACTATCTACACTCTTGTACATCAGTTAAAACATTTACTGAAGTTCTATCCTTCAATCAACTGTTTTATCAGCAAAATTAACACTTTAGTTAAGTCTTGAAATTTGTTGTAACCTGATGTATGAGTTTCTAAACAAAAATTTGATACATTCCAAAGGACTAGGGATAGAACTTCTAACTAATCTTTTGTATGCATATTGAGATAACTAAGATGATCTATAAACTATGGAGAAGAATTTCAATATGTTGTGTCATCTGATCTAGGCGATTTAAATTTGAAGTTTCTGTTGTCGTTTATAGACAATATTACTGACATATACTTCAAGAAGAATTATTAGTAAAACAATAAATACTTCATAGCTAAAGGATCCAACTCGGAAAATGGAAAACCTCTAAAATTTGTATTGATATATATGGAGAAATGGACAGTCGATTTCTGTTTTACATGGAAATAGTCAACTAAAAATTTCTCTTATTCTATCAATTAAACGTTTAGTGGAAGACATGTCAAATTACACATTAACTGGGTTGACAGCACTTAATTACTTACGTCTGTTACTCCCAATGGAGCGTGGGCCGCCGACCAGCATTCTCCAACCCACTCTGTACTGGGTCTTCCTTTCCAGTTCCATCCAATTCTTGTTCATTCTTCTCATGTCTGTCTCCATTTCTCGGCGTAATGTGTTCTTTGATCTTCCTCTTTTCCCTTGGCCTTGAGAATTCCATGTGGGGGCTTGTCTTGTGACGCATTTCGGTGCTTTCCTCAATGTGTATCCTATCCACTTCCAGTGCTTCTTCCCGGTTTTCTTCCTCCGCTGTGATCTGGTTTGTTCTCTCCCATATTTGGTTGTTGCTGATAGTGTCTGGCCAACGGATCCGAGGTGTTTTTCGTAGACGGCTGTTAATAAACACTTGTATCTTCTTTCGTAGTTCTCCAGGTTTCGGCCCCATACAGTAGAACTGTCTTGACATTTGTATTGAAAATCCTGACTTTGGTGTTGATTGACAGTTGTTTTGAGTTCCAGATGTACTTCAGTCGTAAATATGCTGCTCATGCTTTGCCGATCTGCGTCTTCACGTCTTCATTAGATCCACCGTGTTCATCAATAATGCTGCCCAGATATGTAAAGGTTTGTACATCATCCGATTCCCCTCCGTCAATTGTGATTGCATTGGTGCATGTTATACTGTATCGGAGAATCTTGTTTTTCCATTTGTGTATATTGAGACCTACTGCTGTTACACTGGTCTTCTTCTCCTACATTTGTTGTTGCGTGTGTGATAGAAGGGCCATATCATCTACGAAGTCTAGATCGTTCAGCTGCTTTCTAGCTGTCTACTGTATCCCCTACTCCCGTCCCAGATGTTGAATTCTTCATGATTCAATCGATCACTAGGAGAAAGAGAAAGGTTGAGAGTAAGCAACCTTGCCTAACACCGGTCTTTATTTCGAACGAGTCTGTCTATCTGTCCTGTTTGCACGATTTTGCGGTTTAATCCATCCAACGAATTTCGTATGATATTGACTATCTTCTCAAGCACTCCGTAGTGTTGTTCTATTCACACTATCAAATGCTTTCTCGTAGTCAATAAAGTTGATGTAGAGTGATGAATTCCATTCAATTGATTGTTCCACAACAATACACGTAGACTGTTTGCAAAAAATTACAAATTCTTACCTGAAAGATTGAATCATTTCCATGATGAACAAATTTCTGTTTATTATTATCATCATATGTTATCAAGTTTTGATATCTATTCGATAAGTTTATTAAATCATATAATTGTAATTCAACAGTATTTAATTGGTTTAATTCTATAGTATTCATTCGATGTTTCAATAGGTTAATTTGTTCTATTGGGTCTATTTCATTGGTTAAATTTTTATGAATTTTTAGATGAGAAATTATATTTGAATTAAGAATTTGTTCGTTTTGTTGATTATTAAAGTTATTTAATAATGATAAATGAATAGGATTTCCGTTCATGAAATCATTTGATGATATCTTCTTGAATATGGAATTCTCTATGTAATAATTAAAAAAAAGAATCACAGTATATTATTCTTATCAGAAAGAGATTTTGTGGATATATTATAGTAATTTAATAGTTGAGATCATTAGAAATCTGGAAGCACTAGACGATCATTTGTTTCTAGTGCGCATCTACGATCACACGTTGCAGAATTCGAACCCAAGACCTGCCAATCCCGTACGCGAACGCTGGACATTTAGACCACTGAATCGGTCGGCATTCAATGGTGTTAATGTGTAACTTCAAAAAATCCACGAAATCGCTTCATCGTTCACCATTATCATCAGTGAGTTACTATCTTACAACAGATCCGGTTGAACTGCTTTTCACTAGAACTCTAGGAAGTACCTCTTGAAGCCATATATATTATATCATATTATTCGTTTTTCTACAGAAAGTTCAGATTATCACAAATGATAATTTTCAAACAAACCCAATGTCGGACAACTGTACTGATGAAAACATTGAATCTATGAAGTCTGTTGAGTTTTATTATCTCCTGTAGAATTGTATAATGCTAAACAAAATCCGATGAAATGGTTTGTATATGAGATTTTTAATAAAACGACTTAAACTGACAAACAAGCTGGATAATATCACTTGTTAGTAATTCTGAAGTTGTTCCGAACAATCGAAACTAAGATAAAATGACAGATGGGGGGTTGTTTGAATGGGATAAGTTAAATGCATCCTGAATTTTGTAAAATAGGGATTCTCTTATTTCATTTTATTTATACATATGAAAGTCATTTTTGTTTTTGCTTCAATTAGAGGGTCTGTCAAATATCAAAATAAAACGTCAAAAATGGACTCAGAAAATCACTATTGATGTTACTCATTATTCAATACAAGGGTAGTTGCTATGTTCTTAAATATTCGAAAACTAGTCAGACTTAACCATTACTCTGTGCTATATAACTACTCATTGCGTTGAATAGAAATACAGGGTCTAGTATTGCAGCGTTGCACTGCTAATTATGTATACACATCAGAGGGTCCAGTAGTAGATATTTCATATCAGTACCTTGATGACCAGACCAAACACTACTCAATTGTTATATGGTGTAACGTTTAAGGGGTAATGACGTATAGTGTCTAGTACTATGTCAAGTTTACGTGGGTTATTCTAGCTTCCGGATAAACCGGTTGATTCAATCTTCTTTAGTCACATTTTGATCATATTTATTAACCTTGACTGTTTTTATATAAGCATGTGTGTGTTTATTGCTTTTTTTCTGTCTGACTATAAATATTGAGTCTTGCCTTATCAAGACGAGTTGGTTGACTTACCTTCACAACTTTGTTTCTCTGACTGAAATGAATTTATCCGGTACAACCCGTATTTTGCTTTTTATCATCACAATCACACAAACGGGATTAAACTAAATAATATATGGAGTTAAGTGGAAGATTTATATATATGGCATATCTATTCGTTCTTTTAGGTTGAAGTCAGATTATCGAATCACAGACGTCGTCACATTATGTGATGTAAAATTTAGGGTTTAATAGGTAATAATGTATTCCAGTTATTCACTATCAAACCTACTAGGTGATATAAACTCGTTCTAATGGATGAACACTGTTCATATTCTAGAATCCTTAAGAAAAACACAAGCACATTTTGAAGAGTATCCACATAGTTACTAGTTACAGATAGGGTTTTCATCACGAATTGACATTAGCTAGAATCTTATGATATTCCCAAGTCGTAGTAATGAATGGAATACTCTGAAAAAATATGAGAGGTGACATGTGATTAGTTTGTTCATAAAATGTAGTGCTATCAGGTTAAGGTTCCCTTCAGGATTAAGGGTTTATAGTTATTATTTAAGGATAGTGTCGATTTGCCTTTTATGTACAACCTGTAGGAACAGGATTGGACATTTGATACATTAAACACTATCATCATCCCACTCTATGATGGTAGGGAATAATTTTTCGCCGTTATTTCAAACGTTTAAACCAGTGTCTAAAAGATCATTTAATGGTTGATGTATGTGGTGTGTTGAATTTGGCACAGCAACCTAAACGTTACTTTCTCAATTCTGATTGATCCCTGAAGCATACTTTCATCAATGAAGTAACAATGTTTTGTATCCAAACATTCACAGTTCGAAACAACGCGGATACACTTTTTTCGTTCATAACTAGACCGTAAGTCAGGATCAAAATTGGTGAAGGTAAATGTAAAAGACCGGATTTTAAGTAATCACATGATAGTATAGTTGTACAGTTGTTGATAATGCAAGAATGTCAGTCTGTCACAGTTGAAGTTAGCCCAATGCGGAAGAAAATCGACAATATCAAAAGCACACAAAACATTTAACTGCAATCGAAAGTTAGACATAATTAATAAACTACCGAAAAATTATATCAAGCTCAAAACTTTAGGGTAATACCAATCGATATCTCTAACCAGGGAGTTTACATCTCCGGATATGGTTCAGACCAGCAGTCAATAATTCCATGAACTAATCCATTTATATTTTTTCCAATCTACTTGTATACCAGACAATGTTAGTCATCTGAACAGATTGCAGCTGAATATGCATAACATACACTTAAATTATGTAGGTCAGGGAAGGTTTATAGTCTCCTCGATCGACCGAATATCTTTGCTTAAAAATATTGAGTTCCAAGTTTGAAATAATACTTATAGTATAGTATAATATGACCCGTTAGTGTGTGCACTAACTGACTAAATGAAGTTCTTATCAACCCGTTCCATAAAATCTCAATTCTGATTGGATCACCCCTAAATTGTATTTTTACTTTTCATTTTGAGATGGAGAAGATTTGCAACTCAAATGCATGATTTTGTTAAAGTTTTATTCTCTGAACTGAATGGTTTGGTCATGGAACTTTCATTATTCTTCTGAACGACATCATCAGCACAATCTACACTTCTACCTGATATTCCATAAACAAACCATCCAACTCAACGAACAAAACTCTATCAAATACCTTTCATTTATTTACGTTCTTATAAATGATAAAATGTCATAAAATACTACTATAATTAAATTTTTTTAAAACATACCAATGGTGAAAGTTTTATTTACTTCATTCAATGATTCAATATCATTTTCAAGGTCGTAATTTGCAAACTGGACATCTTTTATATTTGTATACTTCTCTGGTGGAATTGCTGTAGTTCCAATATTAGAAATCACATTATTCTTTAAAGATCTACTATGATTGTTATTATGATAAAGAGTTGAATGGTTGATGTTGTATAAAGCATTATTGATTTGATATTCATATAAATCTTCAGTAATATAGTTTTGTTTATTCGGAATGATATTCTCGGAATAAGTTAAATTTTGCGAAGTTTGTTGTCTTGATAGGAAATGAAAATTCAGGTGAAAATAATAAAACTATAAATATGAGAATACTTATATATATTTTATTGAATGATTTATTATTGTTAAGCAAAGATGGATAATGGCTTGCGGTGGAATTCAGGACGCGTGTTTCGTCCTATTTCGGACTCGTCAGCTGGATGTACTTGCATCTCAGAGTTGATGTTCACTACAGGACTAGAACCCAGTATCGTTTGATTCAAATGCCATCGCGTTATCGACTTATCTATTGAATCCTGATAGCCACCTGCTTGTGTAATACGGTGAAGTTTTAAATTCAATTGGTGTTGTTTGCTTGTGTCTTCCCATTGTTGTTCAGGACTGCATTTGAATATCCCGGAGTGAATAAGAACTCTGAGATGAAGGTACATTCAGCTGACAAGCCCCAAATAGGACGAAACGCGCGTTCTGAATTCCACTACTAGCCACTATCTATGTTTGCTTAAAAAGCCTGTGGTGCAAAGGATGCATATATGCCAACAAGAGACTGATCAATTTCAGTCTTAAATTACAATGAAAGATACAAGTAAACAACATCAAGTGGATTTATTATTGTTTTATTTAGCTGGAGGCAATCTGTATGAATCACTGCTTGACCTAGACTTTTTACTATTTAGCGCTTATCAAAAGGAATTGGTGTTATCTGTGTGATTATAAATTGCCTCATTTAATGTCCGTCTATTAGACACTAATACCCAACTATTCGGGTTGCTAATAACCTCCTAGTTTTAGGATTTACAAATTCTCTACAATTCCCCTCAGTATCAAACTAAATGTATGCAATGTTAATGTTATTATCTCCGATTATTTTAACTTCGACATGAAAATTTTGTGAAGCTGAGTCGAATAGAATGTCTATTCTTCATTCTTTCATGATAAAATAATTTCAGTAGTTGAGATCATGAGTCAATTGAAGCTAAACCACCATAGAAAACGTGGAAGCACTGATCAGACGTTTCGTCCCATTGTGAGACTTCTCAATAGTGCTCATCCACGATTGTTAAATATTTCACAAATATGTTGCTTCAATGGTTAGTCTTTACAAAAAATCCCCAACTTATTCATGAGTAGAAAATGTATAATGTTTGTAAACTAATTTAGTAAATGTAAGCTGCTTGTAACTACACTAAATATAATGCGTATTGATTTTACGTGATTGAAAGCAATTGTCATGAAGTCCTGGAGCTAGTTTTCTTGCTAACTTTGTTGACGAGCAACAAATACAATTCAACTTATAGCCAGGAATTGTTAACGATTTTAACCAGCCATCTAGTCACTTGGATTCGTAATCAAATTGAGAAATTAATTGGTGCACGTTGATAAACATTACAGAGTAGACATCGCTAAATCTTAGCATAAAATGACTGCTAATAGTTAATATATTATTTCGGGTTGAAAATTAACTGGATAACCAATAGATTTCGGTTTTTCCTTGACAATATTTCTTATCATTTGGATTACTAGTTAAGGATCGATTTAGTGTAATTTTCATGCATTAATTCAAATTCTAGAATGTTACGTTATAAGCTATTATAATCAATTATGTTTTAGTAAGTATTACTTGCTGGTTAGAGTTTTTTTATAGCAAGGTTGTTTTCTACGGGATGGGGTAACTGATTTCATGTCCAATCCTTCTCCTTTACCCGGGCTTGTGACCGGTAGTAACACTACGAGAGCTACAGGGGGAGTTTTTAGTAAGTTCAGTAAGGTAATATTGAATATCATGTCTATGTATACTTGTTTAAGTGTAATTAATCAAGTCAGATCCAAAAATAATAACTCACATCACAGAAGAACAGAAAATATCAAATACTGGAAATAAAACATATGAACAAATTATAAACATTGTCGATTTCAACATCTTATTGTTGTGACGCGTGATGTTCAAGAGTTGATACCGATTCATCCTCTTTTTATACTCGAACTTGACCACTCACAGGAAAAGACGGAGAGTGGGTAGAATGAAGATTCATTTTATTTGCAATCATATATATATGCCTTTCGTGGCCCTATATCTGATTCCAGGTAGATCGGACTAATGATTGCTGTCGAAATATACATCCTGTTTACCCTCGTATATAGTTATCGACTTAACTCGCGTTGGCGAATAACGGAATCAAAATAAGTCATATACGAGAATGAAGTTTTGAATACGTATATTCTGAACAATCATTGATCAAAATAGACAATCAGAGAGATTGAGCGAAGGAAGCGAAATGGATTGGAGAAGGCATGTTCGCCAACTCCATTTAACCAGGCGTGAATCGATATTTATAGTCAAACAAAAATACTTTACAGACACATGATGAATAGGGTACATAATTAACACACATTCGATCATATAAAAAGCAATCAGGATTTTGTGATGGTGGAGAAAATTTGTAGCTCAGGTGGATGATTTTGATGAAGTTTTGTTCTCTGAGAAGGATGGTTCGATCGTGGAACTTTCATCGTTATTCTGAACGACATCATCAGAATAAACTTCACTTCTACCTGAAGTTTGTGTTGATGATGTCGTTCTGAATAACGATGAAACTTCCACGATCAAATCATCCAGCTCAGAGAACAAAACTTCATCAAAAAGCTGTCAGAATTAATAAGCAACAGGGTAAAAATGTGGCTTGAGAAGAATGAATAGATTGATTTGTCCAAAGGCTAGAATAACCTATGTGGGCTTGACTTGGTACCAGCCCCTACATACCTTAGAAATTAAGCCCATCAGTGGTTTGTCACATTGTTTGCAAATGAAAATCATCACTCGGATAACCAGGTGCACTTATCACTTGGCTATATCTAGATGGTCTACTGTACCGTTGTCAACTTATCTTACTTTCGATTGGACTCATAATTAACAGATGAAATTAAGGATTTATCATACTTTCCAATGAATAATTGACTTATTGTACAGTTGTATATGTTTCCTTATTATTTTTTGTCTCCAAAATATGTATCGTATTTCCAATTTGGAAATTTCTAATTCCTCACTTCTCTGGGTGATATTCTTTTACACAGTATTTATTGTCCACTTTTGGAGACTAATTAATTTGAAAGATTGTTTTAGTTATGAAATGGCACAAATTAAAAGGTCAGGTAGTATTAGACAGTTATTTTGTTTTAGTCTTTAGCTATTCATCCAATACCTATCGATAAGCTCTCTAGAGACGGAAACGAATATCTCCCCGTCACGCGGCGAGCAGGATACGTTTTTGAATCTGAATAAAAGTCTGAAGGCTCTGGGTTCGAATCCTGAGAGCGGGATCGTGGATGTGCACTGCTGAGGAGTCCCAAAATAGGATAAAACGGCCGTCCAGTGCTTCCAGGTTTCCAACGGTGATCTAACATCAATCAGTTCATGATCTCAATCAAAAACTTAAATATGATCAGTTCGTGATGTTTATCCATACAAATTGTTTTCTTCTTGTATACAATACAAATAACGCGTTTGTAAACAAAGCCAGTAGATGGGATTTTCTATATCTCATTAGATTTGTTGAGTGTACCGAAAAGAAATCGCAAGACAAAACTTTTGTTTCACTCAGAAATATTCTCCCTGAAATCACATTTATCTAATCCAGTAATTTTCTCAGGTTTGTATATTCCATCTTACCTGTGTCTTTATAAAAATTTTTTCTCAGTGAGACTATAATTTTGGACGACCTTTGAGCAACACTAGACTGACCTTGAGAGTGTCTACCTGATAACTAGGACCAAATGTCGGTTATATACCAGTGTGAGGAATTAGAATTCTGATCTACGGTTGATGGTTAAGGTAAAAAATTAGATCTAGGGTTTTCATCATGAACTGTCATCAGCTATAATGCCAAAACTCTATTTAGCCAAATGGATGAGTGAATTTCACACCAATATTCAAGATTTGATATCTTGTATTTGAATGATTCGTTCATAAGTTATAGTTACACCCCTTTCTCTATTGAAGACTTTTGAAGTATTAAACTTGTTATTAATAATTATAACAATTGCTTACCTTCTTAATGCAACTTGTGCAGCCATAACACGTTGACGTTCAACAACGAGTAAACAAGCGGCACAATGACAATTTTTCCAACGACAATGTCTCTTATGCCCTTTTAATGATGAAATCACTCCATGATTACGACAACGTGTACATTTAGGCACACGAAATGAAGAACAGGAATTATTAGCGAAATTAGTATTATACTTAAATTCTTTATTATCCAGTCTTAACTACAAAAAAAAAAGAGATTATTAGTTGAAAATATTTAAAATAAACGAGCTGTCAAGAAAATTTCAATAGTTGAAGTCATGAGACTGATTGATCCTGAGTTCGAATATCGTGGGGAGCAGCATCGTGGATGCTCACTTCTGAGAAGTCCCATACTAGGACGAGACGGCCATCCAGGATTTCCATGGTGTTCTAGCTTCAGTTGATTCATGATTTAACCTATTGAATTTATTAAAATCTCTACAAAATACCTTCTATCAAGAAAAGTTTGTAATCACCGATTGAGCATTCAACTTAGATATTAATTTACTTTAAAAACATTCTGATTTACTGCCACCTCCGCGACAAATGTTTTTCATCGGACTTATTATTACTATTTGTTCAAATAAGAAACCATCATCTCATAAATAATGTGAATTTTACAAAAAGGTGATAATAGAACTCCCATTCTTAGGATAGAATTTTTTGTCATTTCTACTAGAACATTCACTCTAGAGACTGGAGTTTCTCAGTTCCATTCCTCCATGTGGAGTTATGAATATACACTGCTAAGGAGTCCTAAACTAGGATGAGAGGGTTGTCTAATATTGATTGATTCATGATCTTAATCTAAAACTTAATCTCCACAACCCTATACTGATCATAATTTTCATCAGTGAGTTAATATCATGGACTTCACAGGTTACGTATTCCTATTGAATTTTAGGTTAATATACCTTATCATCAGTTAGTACTAAGTATAGGATTTGTATTATATAAAACGATGATTCTGATTAAAATCATGAGTATGCATTATACAGAGATATAAAACTCAAATAGAACAACTATTCAACACTTTCTGATTTTCACTAGTTCTTTAACAGGTACAAGTTCTCAATAAAATTTAATTTCATATTTATAGTTGTTGAAGAGATAACCAGATGGTTCTTTTTGTTACAAACAATTGTTATTACACCTGGAATTATTTTACAGCTGTTATTTATCGACGAGATTTATGAATGGTAACTGTTGGGATTCATTTATGGACATTGGCATCGGCCTCGTGACTTCGGAAGGAACTCGGCTTTCACCATGAGGCGTTATATCTCTTCTAAATGAAGGCCTTCTGACTTCCAGAGCAGAGTTTAAATGGTTTGAATAGTTTTTATGGTTAGCGTGTTTTTAGCAAGTTAGTTTTCTACGAGATGGGGTCACTAAGCTCATGACCAACCCTCCTCCTTTACCCAGGCTTGGGACCGGCAGTAACTCGAAAAGAGCTACATGCGGAGTTTTTATTCCTAATAGAATAATACAAAATGTCTTTAATAATGTGTTCATGTTTTCAACGATAACGTTTGAAGGAAAAACAACGTCAATGAAAGTATCAAATATTATAAACTGAATAAATGTTGTAGTGAACAGAACACGAGTGGGGACAATAGAATGTATTTGACACGAAAATACAGAGCATCTCACTAAAATATGTGAACCATATAGTAAGTCGTTAATTTGCAAAATATCAATCCATCATATCAAACTTGACTGTTCCTGTCTCAAACTATAAGTAACCCACACCACAATGTGTTTTTAGAAAAAAATACATTTAAATGAAATACGTTTCTAGTTTAGCGACGACAGACATTAAAAAGAGTCACAGTAATTCCAGCAAAATATCAAATTTATAACTTGTAAAGGATAGTTTCTAGGTATTGTAATGAACGAGAACACCAGTGGGGATAACCATCTGTATGTGGATCGCCTATATCTTTAGATAATGTCCTAGGTGCAAGAAACTTGCAGAACTACTAGGTTAATTAAGAAATTAGTATGAAAATATGTTTTGATGCACCAGAAATATACCGCTGTTCTTATTGAATGGCTGTAGGCATATTACCTGAACCAATTCAGTCGTCAGTGAATTCGAAATGCTATCACTCCCAGTACCAGTAGAACTGAGGTTGTAGTGAACGTAAACAGAAGTGGGGACAATCAAATGTAATTGAATACAAAATTACAGAACATCTTATTAACATCTGGAACCTATAGGTCTCTTGAGCGAACGTTTAACCTCTAGACCACTGAGCTGACCGGCATTTAATGGTGTTAATGTCTAACTTCAAATAATTTATGAAATTGCTCCACCGTCCACCATTGTCTTAAGTGAGTTACTATCTCACAACAGATCCGGTCGAACTTCATTTGTCATTGCTTCTTACTAGAACTTCAAGAAAAACATCTTGAAGCCAGTCACCACTGAGCACATGATGATTATTATCAGAAGGGGGTTTTCGTGTAGATTGTAGTAATTAAATAGTTGAATTCAAGAGTCAGTTAAATCTAGACCACCATGAAAAAACTATTAAATTACTGAGATCTCCACAAAACCTCGTTCTGATAAAAAATTACCATTCATTTACAGTTTAATAGATTTAGAGCATTTTAAGCAAAATAAGATTGTACACATTAAGTAAATAACCAGTTGATTTCAACTGGGTCTGCTTTGAGATAGTAAATCACTGAATATAACGATGGACGATGGCAAAACTTTGTGGATTTGTTGAAGTTAGACATTAACACCGTTAGATGCCGGCCAGTTTAGTGATCTAAAATTTTATGCGGTCCCGAATCTCGAGAGACGGGATTGTGGATGCGTTATGCTGTAGAGTCCCACAATAGGACGAAACCTCCGTCCATTGCTTCCCAGATTTTCCACGGTAGTCTCGCTTTATCAGACTCATGAATTTAACTATTAAATAATTAAATATTATTAACATAATTTCTAAACAACAATAAACAGGATTATTTTTGACTTACAGAATGTATATAATTATAACCTTTTAAATATGGAATAGTGTATTTATAACGAATGAAATAGTATCAAATTGTCTTTAAATATGTCCCCTATGTATTCATATTAGTTTGAAGTCATTTTTCTATCCACAACTCTCTCCCAATGTGTCGCTATGTAGGTATCTTCTGTTTTTGTTTTGTATTTTTATTTTTTGAATCTGTGTACATGTGCATTTTGTGCAATACTACTATGTTTATTCTTCAAATTATTCATTTGAATACATTGTAGTTTATGGTAGCTTTTCTTTTATTTTTTCTTCTTTCTTTTACAAAAAAGAATTATCTAGTTACATTAGTTCCCATTGGATAACGGTTAAAATTTAATTCACTCAATTTTCATTTGATATGTGTAAAGGATTGTATTATCCTAAAAGGTAGTTTACATTCATAAAAGCATTATTGGTCAAATAATTGAAATTAGGAAATACCAGATAATAGCTTTATTGTTTGTAAATGGTTGTCAATAATGCACATTCATTTTCTTTTTACTTTTGACAACAGATGTCTTAGAAATATTGTTCGCATTTCTGGGATCATCGGGTAAGTAATAGCGAGGTTAGACGCAGAGTATTAGGGAATGATGGTAAATCAGTTGATAAGGTTGTAAATCTACATCGACTGAGTTGGTTGGGACACGTGTTACGTATACATGAACACCGATTATCACGACGTACTATGCTGACTAGTGTTTGGGATGGTTTGAAGAAAGTTAGGGCTGGCCAAGCCAAAATGTGGCATCAGTGCTTGAAGTCACTAATCTCTGGTCTGAGCCATGTTGGTAGATGCAGACTATTTGGTTGGGGTCCGCGTGACTATTGTAACCAATGGTTGGACACTCTGGGTGACATGGCTCAGAATCAATCACAATGGCGTCGGTGTATACACACTCTGTCTTCCCTTAAACTAAGAGATTAAAATCGCTTCATATCTTTCTTTCTACCAACTAATTCTTTCTTCCTGTACCATGTCCTTACATACAATCTTTCTTTTATATATTCTAACAATTCAATGTTCAACTTGTTGCGTTTTTGAGGTATGGCAATTTAGACCAATTCATATATGTCCCTGATCCTAAGTTGTAGCTTACTGACTGATTTTCTTTTTTTACATAGAATCGAACTCATAATGTATATATAATGGATTGAAATCTCTTGGCAACCTAAAAATCACCAATTTTCCAAATGTAAATGTTTAGGGTTTGGGTTTTTTTTTCGATTAATTGATTATATCTTTCAACTTCATGTACACGATCTAGGATATCATCATTGTGTTTCACTGATCTACCTGTATCCTCATCTTTTTAACAGACAACAAATGAATAATAAAGCAGTCATACATTAAATATAGTATACAATGATAAGAGATTTCATGCTAGTAAAACTAGTTGGCAACATTCATGGCTATCTATTTCATTGAACTCATTTCCTAAATATGATGTACTTATTGTAAACTCTTTAAAATTAAAATCAAAGTTTTACAAGGAACGATCGTTTTCGGTAACTTCTTCATTGAACTCTACAATTACATATTCAAAATTATTATTTTTATGTTCCAATAGACGAAATATTCAAGTTGAATATATACTGCCATGATTAGGAAAAGATGATACTAAATCTATTCACATTATCATTCATTCTCCTTTAATTAGGTTAGGATGTAATATATTCAAATTGAAGATCCTATCTCAGATATATGTCAATTTCTTAATGGTCTATAAAATAGTGCAAGATTGAGCTTACTCTATATAGTCGAAACATTTTGTAACAATCCAAAAAAAACCCAACTTATAGTTACAAAAAAATGCATGTACCCTGTCTATTTAAGCTGGTCTACACTAAATTCGTTCCAAACTTAGTTCCAATTGTATCGCTCCTCTTCGTTATGATTTTCATTCTCTAATTTCACACCCATCCTTATTATTTTACCTGACACTCAATAATAATAATAATATCACAACTACGACACAATGAATACTACGTTGTATCAATTCGTTTTACATAAGAATTTATCTTATTGATTGGAATTTATCGACATTATAAGGACCTGATATTTTCCTACCTGTTATGTATGACCTTTCACCAACATTTACTCTGAAGAAGTAGTTTATATTAAGCCACAAAAAGTCAGAAGTACAATTTTTCTAATAATTAGGACATAACGAAAAGGTATTTATAAGCAAAGATGTGTAGAGTATAGCAGTAGAATCCAGGACGCATGTTTTGTCCTATTTCGAGCTCGTCAGCTGGATGTACCTGCATCTCAGAGTTGATATTCACTACAGGACTAGAATCCAGTATCGTTTGGTTCAAATTCCATCGCGTTATCGACTTATCTATTGAATCCTGATAGCCACCTGCTTGTGTAATACGGTGAAGTTTTAAATTCAATTGGTGTTGTTTGCTTGTGTCTTCCCATTGTTGTTTAGGACCGCAAATGATCAGTGGATAACGCGATGGCATTTTTTGAAGCGAATGGTACTAAGTTCGAGTCTCGGAGTGAGTGTAAACCCTGAAATGCAAGCACGTCAAGCTGACGCGTCTCAAATGGGACGAAACGTGCCTTTTGGATTCCACTGCTATCTACTTAAGACTATCGAGACAATCCGCCCAGGATGCACATGTGTCAACATAAGACTGATCACTTGCAGTTCTGAACAACAATGGGAAGATACAAATAAAACAACACCAAGTGAATTCAAAATATATATTTATTGTTACCAATGACATTATTTTACTAGTAATTTGTAGGTTTAATCGACGTGAAGTTTACCATCTTCAATTTATAACATGGATTAATTCAATCCTACTATTTTGTCTATTGTAACATATAAATGATAATTTTGCATTTGTACCTGTAAAGTTTGATGAAGAAGTTATCGAAAACCATCGTTCGCTT